AAATTGAAGGGGACGAAATTAGGCGCGGGTAATTTAGTAAAAAATTACTCGAAGAGCCCCAGAGGGATTTCTTGATATTATTTTTGATGGAGTAAACACTGAAAAACTTGGGCGAGGATTCGCGAAACTTTTCGACAATTTCGATATAACGATCGTTTAATGGAACCGTAGGACTCGGAGCTTAACGCAAGAAGGCGGTGAATACTAACTACTGTTAAATTGGCAGTTTAGCCAGCAGACGCTGGGTTAAGCTCTATATATCGGCTACGGACTAACTCGACGTAATATCCCCCGACCGAGCACACAATTGCAGCTTGCCAGCCTGACTGCTGGCAATGCGACGACTCAAGGTTGAAGCCACGTGGTCAAATATATGGACGTTCTCGTTTACCCAAAAGTGTAGTTTCAAGCAAGGTCGCGTTACAACAATAAAGATAAAGCGAAAAAGTATTTAACACCTATTAATTTTCTGAAAACTAAGTTTCAAAGACAAGCTGCGAAAATTTGCCTCTTTCTAATTCGAAAAAATAGTTTATGTCAAGATGTCAGTTTAAGATTTAGCGTTGCAGATACCTACATTTAACATCGTGCGCGGAAAAAGTTGTGCGATTGGAGATTTGCGGGGTTTTCGAGAGCGAAAGCGCCAGGCAACCGAGGGTGGGTGTGCCTGAGATCAGCATGCTAACGATGTGTACCATTCCAGCATCCTCCCCCCCTGCATCCGAGGGATGACGCGTGCACGCGTCTGGTCGGAGGATCAAAAGCGATCGCGTGTGCTGATCCCTCTTGCTCCCCGATATACAGCTCGATATACAGCGAGTTACCGTCGAATCCGTTACGACTGTTACCGAGGACAAGTGGACCAAAACTCCCAAGCTCCCCAAGCTTGACGACCAATTTCAAATTTAATGTCTCCTCCGAAAGATAGCCCAGTTTTCTCCGCACAAGCCCCAATCGTGCGGGGGGTGGCAGTTTGGAATATAAAAATTCCTGTGATCAGGTGGACTCGAACCCGGTTCCTCGGAGTTACGAGTCTGGCGCTTTACCACAAGACTACACTGCCACCCCGGTTTGGACCGCGATCGAAGTTAAATCGGTGCCGTTACCAGTGACACACGACTCATCTCGAACGATCTCCCGCATCTTTCAAAAAATACCTCTCACAGAAATATGCTCCTTTCATATAAAAATACTTCATAGAAAAAAATGCTTTATATAATTGAAAGCAAAAGGACGCGGCAACGTAAAAGAACCATGTGCGTCATAGAGCAAGATTTTACAAAGTAACTACATTTCAAAATTTGTTTAAAATGCAATTAGCAAATGGACTGGCTCTCCGCGCTTAGAAGCGGAAGCTAGTTCGAGTAATATCGGGGTTGATAAAAGGAGAGAGAGAGATATAGAGAAAGAGAGAAAAACTCAACGGTATCGAGCTGTACCTGCTCGCCGCAGGGATATGCAACCAACCGAACCCCGCGAGAATCGACATGTGCGGAGGACGACGACGTGGAAGAGCAGCGCGCGTGCCACCGCGTAACAAACATCGGATGCACGAGAGGGAGGGAGGAAGGGGGGCCGACAGCGCCGTCAGTCGGTGGCGCGGCGGTGGTCGCTCGGGGGGATCGGGGGCTGGAGCGCAGGGCAGCAGGGGGTACGAAAGCGGGGGATGGATGGATGGGCGAGTTGTGAGTTATCAGGGGCGGGCAGGCTCGTGCGGCTCCACTATCCCCGCGAACGGCGGGTGCACGCGGACGACGGGGGGGGCGGGGGAGGGGCGCGACGGAAGCGTGGTAGTTCTGGCCTGGTGCTACCCGCATCCACCAGCAGGGTTGGCGGTGGAATGGGGTGATCGATATGCCGTGCCGTCGCCAGTGCCACACACCACGCCACGCGCACGTACATTCCGCTTCAGCGACAACTTAAGGAGGAGATAGTTATCGGGGATGCGATTGTTTCAGGGGGGGAGGGAAGATGGGGAGCGTGCTCGGCAGAGGCGTTGCGTGATGTTTCTATGGTATCCCGGATGAAAAATCTTTTAAATAACTAGCAAATGCCTCGACGAAATGCCCTCAGCGGTTTCCCCCAAGAGTTAAAACAATCACGACACGCGAAACAAATTTCAGATTCGTGGCAGACTCGAGCGTCAAATCTGGTCACGTGATAGATTCAGAGGGCCGCGAAAT